ACATATATACAAACACATGCTCTAGATAGATACATATTATTTAAAAAAAATAAATATATCTGGCTTTGTCTTCACTTTTTTTTGTTACATGTCTGGAATTTTTTTTAAAATACATGTTTACTTTTATAGAATTATTACAATTATTATTAAAATACCAAAATGTGCTTTTTTTTCAATTTCATTCACAGAGATTTTTAAAAATTATATATTTAGTTAGAGTAAAGGAATCATCTCCAAAGTGTTTGATAGGGTCTGGCATGCTGGCCTTCTTCGCAAGCTCTAGGGTTATGGAATTACAGGTCAATTGTTTGACTTAATACAATCATTCCTGTCAAACCATGTATAGAAGGTCGTTCTCAACGGATTCTCTTCCAGCTCCTATCCCACGAACACAGGTGTTCCTCAAGGCTCCATTCTGGGCCACACTCTGTTCCTTATCTTCATCAACGATCTTCCTGATGCCTTAGATTCTCAAGTTGGCATCTACACAGATGACACTACAATTTACTCCTGCCTAAAAAACAAATCTAGTGTCGCTAAGAAAGCTAACCTGACCGTTCGTCTCGAAAAGGACCTCCAATCAATTGTGAACTGGGGCAGGAATTGGCTGGTTAACTTTAACGCCTCAAAAACAAAACTGATCTCTATTAATCACCAAAGAGATCCTTCCCTGCCCCCCATTAGAATTTCTGATGCTCAACTTCTCGAGAGCACCTCTCTGCGGCTGCTCGGTCTCACGTTGACTGCTGACCTGAGATGGAACAAATACATTGAGTCAATTGCTTCGTCCACCACAAGGAAAGTTGGTTCTCCCCGGAATCAATCCTTCAAATCTATAAATCAACCATTCACCCTTGCATGGAGTATTGCTGCCATATATGGTCTGGAGCTCCTTCTGTTTGCCTCGGGGTTCTTGATAGGCTCCAGAGGCGGATATGCAATATAATTGGCCCTGTTCTGGCATCTCATCTGCAGTCGCTCTCTCACAGACATGTCGTCACCTCCTCTCTCTGTCATTTTTACAAATACTTTCATGGTAATTGCTTCAATGACCTGCTTTCGCTAGTTCCCAAACTTCATGAATTCATGCGTCCTACAAGGCTGGCATCCCGCTCTCACCCTTTCACTGTTGAAACTGTTAAATGTAGTCATCTCTTCTACTCTAATAGCTTCATATCTCGCACCTCTCGCCTATGGAACTCCTTTCCCTATTTCTGTTTCCCTGACAGCTATAATCTCCAACTATTCAAATGTAATGCCAATCAACATCTCCAGTTGCCTTGATCTATCCACTACCCTTCTCCTCATCCTTTCCTCTATCACTCCTATCTGCTCTCGCTCCAAATCTTCTGTAACCCCTTGCATACTAGTGGCTTCCCACCTTACTTGGGGGTGAATCGATTAAAAAAAAAAAAATAATAATAATAATAATATATACTATACACAAGCACCCAGATAGCAGATCAAGTGTAAATAATGATGACATAAGAGCCACTGGACAAAAACACAAAGAAAATGATGAATTTGAGATTTTTGAAAAATGATTCCTCATAAGATGGAAATGCTGGTGAAATTCATCAAGTTTACTGAAAAGTGATGTATTCAACAAGTGTATTCTCTGATAACAATTCCAAGAATTTTGAGACTCCTAATCTGACATATATTGGAAAGAATATATCTATGATAGTTGTACAAAGTTCAATTGAAATCTGAAGAACACTGAATAGTCAATATTATAGATCATTTCTTTTTAAATCAGTTCACCCCAAGCAAGGCAATAATGCCACTAAGATGCAAGGGGCTACTGGGACTGAAAGAGAATGAAAAGACTTTAGAAAAAATGGAAATGCCAATCCTAAAAAGAAATCAAGGGAGTAGTATAAACCAGATGATAGGCAAACCTATCTACTCCTACGGAAGAAAAAATAAGTTAAAATTAAAAAAGTAAATAAATAGTATATACAATTTCATAATTTAAGCTGGAATTTTGGTATGAAACTTAGTGATTTTTCATTGCATTATTAACTAAAGTTTTAACTTATACTTAGTTGCAATAAAAGCAGCTAAAAGATATTACTCTTGTTACAAGAGAGATTTTTCTGTCACTTATTTTAACCTAAAAGTTTGAGGAATTTCAATAGTGTGCAAAAACCTTAATGTAAGCAGTATTTTAATATATTTCATTAGCATCTTTTGTGATCCAAATGTTGACCAAGATGGCTACTTTGAAGGAAACGGTGAAAACAAGAATAGGTAAATGTCAGATTCCCAAATTTTTTGCCCATAGCCTCAGTTTCTACTATAAACAAAATTAGTTATTATGTTAAAAATATTACACTAATGCCTTTCTTTTTTAATCAAGCAAATCACTTCTGACTACTTTGGCTTCTTATTTGCTTTTATTTATATTATTTATAATATGCTTAACACTAGACAAGTATTTTCATTTATATACATGAATTTACATACACTATAAATTAATAAATATTCAAGCAATTTATCTCTTAACCAACTCTAGGTTTTTCAAAACTCATCTGAATCAGAGGATTTGATAAAACGAAAAAAAAAATTAAATTAAAAAGATAGCCAATTTATGAAAACCTCTGACCTATGAGTTGTGTTGCTTGAAACCCTGAAATTAGTCAAGAGTAGGGCTGGATTATGCCCTTTTAGGGCCCCACAACCCAAATGGAGTGACTTTACTCATTTTGCATATTTTTTTTTTTTACTTGTGAAATATTTTACCATCATTTATATAGCTTTAAGTAAAATTATTGCAAATTCTTTAAATAAACTAGAATAGCTATCTTTTGTCTGTCAATAAGAATATTCTTTAAGAAATATCATTATTTTACTATCTATTGCAAACAAAATTAACACATATTTCAACACAACTATAGTAAAAAAAAAAATAGATTTTTATAACCAACATTATAACAATAAAACAATGAAAATAAGTGAGTTTGTCATATTGATATCATTTCAGGTTATGAAACTATTTAGAAATTATAACATCTAGAAAATTAAAATCATTGCTTAATAAACATTTCTAAGATTTAAAAATTCTGAACTAAAATCAAATATGTTATCTACTCGAAACAATGACACAAACTAAAACATTCTTTTCTTTGCTTTGCTTGCTGTGAAAGTCAAATAAATATGAATTTGGCATACTGATTTCATTTTATGAAACTATTTATAAGTTATAACATATAGAAAAATTAAAATCATTGCTTTATAAAAGCTTTAGAGACTCTAGACTGCAGCCTAATGGAAAATCTGGCCATGGTTAAGAAAGAAGTTGCTTGAGCATTTATTGATTTATAGACTAATGTCACTCTAGTAATCTATTGAGCAATTTCTTGACAAAAATTTTGCTAGCCTTAAAAATATATTAAATTCTAGTAATTTTTACATATTTTGATAAGTATCATTGAATTATATTATTATTATGAATTTATATATAAATGTCTATGAATTTACAATAACTTTCAAAATATAAATAATCCATGGAAGGTCAAGTATTGACATTGTTCTTTAAATATTTTACAGAATTCTAATATCTTAATAATTGACTGGTCAAAAAAAGAAATGATGCTTTTAATAAATACAAAACTAGAGAGAAAAATCAATTTACACTTGAAATTCCTGATGCTAATAAAAATCACAAAGTGTTCTTCATTCTTTGACTGCTTTACACAAATAAGTTCTATATATCATTTTATGATAAATAATTATAATTTACAAATATTGGAATAAAAGAATGATGTTCAAATATCACCAAAAAAGTCTGATATAATAGTAAAAAAGCAGCATGTTCTTCTCTTCCCTTACATATTACATTGGGTTTAAAAACAATAAAGACTGTTCACAGCCACTTATAGGTTTAGAAAACAATAAAGACTGGTCACAGGCACTGTACAATATCAGAAATGTAGCAGAAAAGATCTAGAGAATATGTGCTCTGAACAGTATTCAGAAGTGGTCCCAAAGCAGATAACTTACCAGATCATAACTCCATTGAAAGAAATTTTGATAAAAAATTGCATGTACAACATCCCATGTATTTATGGATTGAATTACAAAAGCAAGATTAGGCACCTTCTAAAAATAAAAACTCATGAATACTTGCAAATTGTAATTTATAAAGGAACTTTAAGATAAAAAATAATTGTGTGTAGAGGAGAAAATGGAGTATGTTAACCTTTTTGGTATGAAATCAAAATAACAGATAAAAAATAATATTAGCAAATAAGATGGCAGAAAGAAACTGCATACAAAAATTACTCAAATAATTCAATCATCAGATAAAAAATAGTAATTAATAACAAACGAGAAACATAAACCAATAAAGGACAAATCATAAATTTTAAATTCTAGAATAATGGTACAAAAAATAAGTGTGCTGGTAAAAATCAATAAGAGGTCGTTTTGCGGAAGACAGTCTAAGCTAGCAAGCTGGATGTGATGTTCAAGCCCCTTCAGAACAAAGTATGAACATTCCAAACAGCAGCTGAATGGTCAAAATACAATGTCTAATCCAAGGGAGATAACTATCAAAATCTCCAAATTATTTCATTATCTAATTTTACCAATGAATTCGCATGAATCCATTCATGTAACTAATTTAATGATTGAAGTAAATTGTTATGTGTAAGAGCTGAATAACATTCATTGCTTCTAAAAAAGTTCAATTATTTTATTACAACTTGGCTATTTAACCGCCAAACTTCCTTAGAGCTCTCGAGTATTCTGTAATATTGAGTTCTACTCTGAATGGTCATGTGTTTCCTTCTCACACAATCACACTCAGTGCCTGCACCTCACCTTGCGTTCTTGAGTTACCTCCTCCTGATCAATTTGCTGACCTAATTGGGTAATGTTTTTGCGATCTCAAATTCATTCTGTGTTCCTTCCTGATTAACACTTTCTACACTTAATATCTACGCTTGCTCAGCTTATCAATTACTTGAACAGAAAACGTATCATTTCAACATTCATGACCATATCACACTGAAACACTGGTTCTTGTATGATCACTGTAGTTAAGCAACATCAAGCCTAGTCAGTACCTAGATGGGTGACTGTTTGGGGATACCAGGTGGTGTAATGGATAAAAGCTCAGAATTAGAAATCAGAGCAGAATTCCAATTCCAGTCAGTTTATTATATTCACATTCATGTAAATGCCCTTCAGAAAGTTATTAATCCACTGCTTCTTCTTCCATCTATGGTTTAATTAGTAGGCCTTGTATAAGTAAATTATTATTATCTCCAAAACCTTCTTAGGATCTAAAAATATTTTCTGGTTTTTAATAACCTGAAAAAGGTTGATAAATCATTAAAAAAAAATCAACCAATCAACCTTCTCTACTGATATTTCTTAGCTATTAATTTGATTTCATTCTATAAGTGTTAGCATGTCATCCTCAAACCATGCCTGAATTTAAAGTATTTCTATGTTTCACAAGTTTGTTTTCTTTTTACAGGGTTGCTAGTCATGTCTTAGGTCTCTCTGCTACAACTGCACTGAATATTGTACGCACAGTTTTTGATTATATTTTCTTTCAATAGAGGTTTTACATTGCTAAGTTATCTTAGTAGAATGAGATACTATATATATATATATGTGTGTGTATTTGGGCAGCAATCCTTCTTTTGTACAAGTTTCATTAAAAACAGTTGACAAGTTATTACAGTTAAGTTTTTTATTTCTTTTTTTTCAATTTTTACCCATTATCAAGGATGAATTTTATTTTTACTTTTAATGGAATGTATGGATTGTTTTAAGTATATATCTAGAGTTATAGGAATGTTTTATTTTCCAAACACAGTCAAACACATTGTGACTATGTTTATAGTTGATAATATTGAGTGTTGACTTTTTCTTTTTTATTAATAATGCTTCCATTATTTTCAGCCTTTTTTACATTATTATCAACAAATATGTTGTGTATTGAGTTATTTATATGTATAAATAATCATTATCATATAATATACTATCATATAAAACACATATGAATCTTGTTATATCTTGCATAATGCTCTGATCCAGATGTGTGTCCATTCCATGTTTTCATTTATGAAATATAAATAGCTACAGAAATAGTTACTAGTCTCAGTTTGATGTCAGTGAGAAGATAATGTATTTACTTTATTGTGCTGTATGAATCTGGATTTAAATTAGTGAGGTTCCAACAGATTATTTTTAACCATAGGTGCATTACGTGTTTGAGATTAAAAGATTTTTTTCATAAAGTTTTGCATAGACATCATTATTATTTTTGTAAATAACAATAAAAACCCACACAGTTATTTTTAACTTGAATTGGCTTTTTGGTAAGAAGAAAGTAAGCATAATGGATAAATATGTCATATGGCCATACCAAAAAGTATGTGGGTAAGCTGTAAAAGATTTTGGTTAAGCAGATTTAGTTCTCTGGTGGTCATGAGTTTAGACTTTAGGCAAGGTCATGAAAATATATTTTTAGTTTAGTAAAAGTATTTAATAGACAATTTGGACAATTAACTGATAAGATTCCCATTGGCAAACAGTTGAAGAAGAATCCACACCTTAGATTGAATAAAGAGTTTAGTGCGAACTTCTCAGGTTACTGACTACAAAATATATCTGAAAAAAGCCAGTAGTAAGTACAACAGATTATACAAAGATAATAACCAAGATTTTAGACAACAGTAAATCTGTCTATAATAATGATAATTTCTCATCACAACAATTCTGACAAAAATTCTTCACAGTTCAATAAATTTTATTTATTGAAGAAAATTCAGATAAGAACTATTTGTTTTGAATTATTTAGGTAAGGTGTCCATTAATAAAGGAGGTAATTACTTAAATAACTTTAATACTGGATATAACCAAGGTTTTTTACCAATACATATATCCCTATTATAAAGTTTGATTTATAAATTAGGTACAATAAGTGATTAACAATAATAATAAATAAAATAGAATAATTCTAATATATTGTAATAAAAATTATATGATGAATAAAAGATTTGTTCTACCATAAATCTCAGCAAATGATTTTTTTTATTATTTCTTTCTTCTTTAAAGGAAACAAAATTCTCTTTGGCAACATTACAACTTGAGACTATTATTAAGTAAAACTAAGGAATTGTTTATTTTAGCTGTTAACAAGAGTGAACCATTGTAATCAAATTAAAATAAACCAAATCTTTTGATCTAGAAGACCAAACACATTCCAGTGAGCATGCAGACATTGGTGATGACTAAATCAAAAACCTAATTAAACAAATTCCAGGTAAAACAACACAGGATATGCATAGATATTCCATATGTTTTATTGTCATTATACCTGAGCCAAGCTAAAGTGTAACTTCTCAGCTGTCAATGTGCTTCATATTAACTCTCTCTCTATATATATATATATATATATATATATATATATATATATATATATATATATATATATATAACTTAAAAAAGTTATTTTTCATGGATACTAATGTTTGAAATAGATTCCCTGTTTTTTTTAAATGGTGTATACATCTACTAGCCAGCCCAGTGCACTCAATAAAACTTAATCAAGAAAATGTGTCCATGGCAGTAGCATGCAGAAGTGGGTGACAGAGGGTGCAATGGCCCCAGGTATCCATATTGGGAGGGCATCCAATCAAAGAGTGAAATAAAAATTTAGTTCATATTTAAATTTGAATAAAGTGTTTATTTCATGTTTCATCAGTTTTTACATATTTAAAATGTCTTCCTTTCTCATTACTAGTCCCTCTACTTGAGTTTTAGGGGGTATACAGTTAAAGAGTTGGCCTCAGGCATCACTGGCTCATGGAATGAATAAATGTGGACAATATTAGACAAGTTTTATCTCTTTATATAGTTACAAACATTTTATAATCATCATATTATGAATTTTAAAAGAATTAGTATTCTTTTTTAATCAGTTCACCCCAAGCAAGGCAATAATGCCACAAAGACACAAGGGGGCTACTGGGATTGAAAGAGAAGGAGACGACGTTAGAAGGAATCTGAAACCCAATCCTAAACAGGAAACAAGTGACAAACCTCTGCTTCTATTCAAAAGAACAATAAGGAGTGTGAACTGGATAATAGGTGAATATATCTACTCCTATATCCACATTGATTTTGTTTTTTATTCATTCTTTTAAGTCATTAACAATTTAACATTTGAAATAGTATTAAAAAAGCATACATTTTAACCTTTAGCATTCTGCATTATTACTTCCCTTTGCACTGCATTCTTTTTCAAGGCCTCTGAGTTGCAGTATCCTTATTGTTAATTTCACTCAAAGTTGTTTTCTGTTGCCATAGCAGGATATGACAACACAGCTATGAAATTCAAACACACTATTGTTCAGGGATCAGAATCATCTTCAGCGGCAGGATAAACTTTTTGTACAGTAAATGAAGTCACATACAGAGTGGTAAAAGTTAATTGATGGAAAAATACTAATTATCTTCCATAATAATAAAATGAGGATGCCCTCTCAAATCAGCACTGGAGAAATGTAGATTTGCAAAGGTGATAAATTTTTCTAATTTCTTTAAAAAAAAGTTTTTCAAAAGTACATCAGCTCCTTAATATAAATATTTTGCAGAATTTTTTAAAAAATTCCATGAATTAAATTATTCATTTAAACTTTTGATTACAACCTATGCATTTTATTTCATCCTGACAAAAATTAAATTCACTCCAAAATCAAGCATAGAATTTAATTTAGTTTTTTTCAGATGCTGTCCCATATAATTATTACATTTGATAAAGGAAATATGTATGCAATTGTAACAACTATTATGAGTTTTTAGGGAGTATGTTAATAACAACAAGAAAACAGATCTATGCTTGTATTTAGTAAAAATAAAAATATAAGTTTAATGAAAGTTAAAATGCATCTGAAAAATTATTTTGAAATAGAGCATAAAAGAAAAGTGCTAACAAGGGAGATAACTATTATCGCTAAATGCAGATATTTATTCCTGACTAATTGTACAGAATGTTTTTTTTTTATTAATGAGTTCATGAAACCATCCATAAGCACTAATCTTCAAGGTCAATATCTTTCTAAAAGAAATGTAAAATTTTTATGGGTGACATAAGAATGACCCAACTGTGTTTTCATGTAACATAAATGATCTACTGGTATAAGAATGTTCATTTGACACTACTTGCATAATTATAACCAACATTTACATTTATATCACTCCCCCAACATATATATAATGCCATCTATAAGAATATCACTTTAGTCTGATGAAGTCCTTTTAGAGGATGAAATGCCTCACAGAATTTTTTCTGTTTTGTCATTCAGTTACTCAACATCAGTACTCTAAAATAATTATGCAGCCTCTCAAAGGCTTATAATCTAATCTCAAACTAATTCAACAAAAAGGGTTACATGTAAAGAAACTTGCAATGGATACTTTCACAACATTGAAACTTTTATCACATGTGCCTCTACCTGAAGCTTAGACACTGGTATACCTATGAATATGTCACAAAATAGTCAAAGATTTTGAAAGTTTTATCAGAATATCTACCACCATCTAGTGTGAACAACAGTATTCAGATCAAAACTGACAGTCCTGCATATATATTTAAATGTTGTTGCTGTGAGAATTTTATCTAAAATAAGTTTCATGGAATGTAAGAAAAATTCTAAATAATTTCAAATATAATGTATATTTAAATCTACAAAATGTTATGGAAAATATTAATCAGGATAAATTAAAGTACACTAATATGGACTATCCATCACTAAAATAGATTACAGGAGAAAAAAAGGGGGGAACTTTGTGCCTGCAAAAAAAATGGTATTTCAAAAGGATGTTTCTTTCTGTTAACACTGCTATTACTGTATACAACCAAGACTCCTTTGGCAATATTTATTTACAAGATTATAAACATATATGAACCAACTACAGTGTGATCATTATTATTGACCTTTTATAAAGATTTATTATTTATCATTTTATAAATAAATTTGAAAAGAATTTTTTTAAAAACTTACAAAATTATCAAAATATGTGAACCAACCACAATGCAATATTTATTGCACAACATTTAAATAACTATAAAAACAAGCATTTTT